GGAGGGAGGGAGGGAACAGAAATACAGGCTGAAGTAACCGCAGAGAAGGGGCATGCTGATTGCATCACACTTCCAGTGGTTCAGGAAGAAGCTATGTATTTATAGTAACACAGCACATGTGACCAAACTGAGTCACAACTGGTGGCCCCATATAAAGGATATATGGGAGTTCTCAATACTGATCTTGCAGTTTTGAAATATTTCAAAACAGAAAGTGTTTTGAGGGGGGAAACCGGATTATTTTTAGGAAATAAAGGACAGACTGCGTAGCAAGTGACAAGCAGAAGGAAGACGGAGGCCTCAAACCCATCCACCTACCAGTCCCCACCGATCTTGCACAGCCCTGTGAAGGGGTTCCGATAAATGTACAGGGGCCACCCGTAGGCGGCTGCTGCAAACTGCATGTAATGATGGCAATTTTCTAACTCTGCATCTAAATCAGCTTCCTGTAAGAGAAGGAAAAAAAGCTTTTTGTATCAGGGAACCCCTTACGGACAAGACCAACTCACCAAGGTCATAAGCCTGAACTCAAACTCCGGAGTCTCCCCTTCCTGCAACAAGTGAGCCGTGAAGACCTGGACAGCTGGATGGGGTGCAGAGAAACGTATATTCCTATGTGCCACCTTCTCTTTCAGAAGCATAAACACCCGTGGCAGGAAAACCCATCAAGCAAAGCTGACCCGTTTCCGCTCCCCAGGCGCAGAGCGCAAACACACCCAGGGAGATCCAAGCCCGGTCCCTGAGTTTCTGCCATGTAGACTGCAACAGCCAAGTTCCTAAAAGAGAATGCTTTCAAGATACGTGGATGTGAAGCAGCCAGGAACGGGCTCCGCTCCCTGAACTCCGGGTAAGCAAACGCCTTACCTGACGGGTGAAAAACCACAACCAGCAGAAGCCACAACTCACATTCCAAGCCAGCTGCTCCTGAAATTGGTGCTGGCCAGGTTTTTCTGTTCTTTGTTTTTTGAAGATACATAAATAGGTGTAAATGTCAAAACTCTACAACCCAACAGAATGGGCTTACCTGGGGGGGGCCTGGGGAATGGCTGATGACCTCATCAGGCTCCTGGCTGTTCCTGATGTTGTCCTGTTGCTGATGGAGAAGGGTGAGGCCCGCCGCAATGTCGCTGGGCACCAGATCTGTGTCCTGGGTGAAAACAGCGGCTTGTCATAAAACTTAGCAGGGACAGCCCGAGTTCCTCAAAACCCAGTTTTATACAGTTCACATGCACACACAGTTATGTGTAAATGGGTATCTTAAAAAGTATTTTCCTTTCAAGACTTCTGCATGCGAGCTTAATAATGTTTTTTCCTATCCTGCCCTCAGACAAATCCACTGGACAACAAAAAAATGTGGCTGAGCTCTTATTTCAAATTTCACTTTAAGTAACTGAACCACTTAATGGACTTCACATCTTGTGTAAAGCTGAGGAGCAAATGGATAAGTAAATTCACCATCTTTGCCAGTAACAGCCGATTTTAGCCCAAACTTAGATGCTTGCTCAAGATGCTGTGGTTTTGTGGCAAGAGTCCCTGGGGCAGAGATTCGACACTGAACTTAAATACACCAGCTACTGCAAGCCTCCGGGAGAACCCCACTCCAGGACAGCAACAGAGCAAGCCGCCTGCCCCTGACTTTCCCCTCCTCCTCCGGGTGGGGTATGGAGCAGGCAGGAATCCTCAGCTGCCTCCAGGCACTTCCAGTCCAGAAGGAGCAGGTACTGGCCACTCAGCCCGAGTCATCAGCTCTACCTGTGATGCAGGTGAAGACACCTGCTGAGAACACTCAGATTCTCTTCTTCCTTCTTTCAAAGTTTAAAAAAAAATTTTTTTTTTTTAATATCTTCAAGAGAGAGAGATTGAGAGAGTGAGTGCATGCACGCATGGGAGAAAGGCAGAGAGAGGGAGACAGAGGATCCAAACCAGGCTCTGCACTGACAGTAGAGCCCCACGCGGGGCTCGAACTCACGGATCATGACCTGAGCCAGTCGGATGCTCAACCGACTGAGCCACCCAGGCACCCCCCCTTCTTCCAAATATCTTAAGACTAGGCAGAAGCACTCCTGGGGATTAGTTTAGGGAGACCCTTGTCCACTGTCTACACAGAGGCTGCTGCTACCCGCCTGGTGTCAGCCTACGGGGCCAGCCCTGGACACTGCTGACTCGGACACCACAGGAAAGGGACCAGCAGTCACTCAGGATGGCAAGAGAACTCCTGTCCCTTACTTGGTCTCAATACTGAACACGATGGTTTACTAAAGGATGTTACACGAAAGCACTCGATGTGAAAGAAAACCAAGTTTTTCTAAATCACTGAAGACACTGCTCTAGAGTGAGGACACCTTCCTGCGCTGCAAGGACACATCCCGTCGTGCCGTAATGTGGCACACGAAGTCTGACACCACCCCGGATGCAGGACACTGTTTACACCTGCCTGCACCTGCAGCACACCGGCCGGAGGACAGAGGATTCAGGTGACTGGCAAATTACCCACGAAACATACAGGTTCCATTATTCGCCTCCTTAAACACTAACTAACACCCTTCACGGTGCAAAGAACCAGCAGCAACGCAGGACACAATGACCGGAGACACGGCGTCCGATCCGAAGCGCAGGGCCCCGGCTTAAGGCTCCGGAGCCCACGTCCCATGAGCATCTCCCCTGCTCTGCCATGCACAGACCACACATCCACAAGAGCTGTTTTATGTCAACGGGGGCGCGGCTCAAAACACAGAGGGCTCATCTTCACGGAGGAGACATTTACTCAGGAGAAGAGACGAAAGCAGACCCCTTCGGCTTACTGAAAAGTAGGTTGAGAAAAGCTCTGCCGTACTCGAAAAAGCAACTCGAGTATGGTCATCTTTCCCGACGCAGCAGCACAGTAACTTGATCCTGGTCTCCCACACGCTGGTAGCTGCTGTCTTGAGGCCGTTAAGTAGCTGGCTCGACTCATGACTGTCCAGGTGGTTGGGGCCAGCAGAGGAATACGGAGCCATCTTCCCCCCCAGTGGGTCAAAGACGACGATAATGGTAACCACAGTGGAGACGATGATAATCCAGCTGCAAAGCAGAGAGAGGAGAAGGCGCGATGACCGTGGGTCCCACGTCCACATGCATGAGCCAGGGCTCCCTCCTCAGGGTTCAGTTTTTATATCTGTACAGCCGTGGCTCTAGTTACCGAGGAAGATGCGGATTTCCCAGAACCAGGCTGAGGTGAGCGACTTGTTTTTTCTACAAAGTTCTTTATGCATCCACGGCTGACCCAGGCCTCACAAAAATCAGAGCCTTAAAAGTAAAGACCACAAAAGGGGCGCCTGGGTGGCTCAGTCGGTTGAGTGTCCGACTCCTGATTTGGGCTCAGGTAATGATCTCACGGTTCATGACATCCAACGCTGTGTTGGGCGTGGAGCCTACCTGAGATTCTCTCTCCTTCTGGCCCTCCCTGGCTTGTAGCTCATGCACGCAT